AGGCAAGATGACGCTGCCTAGAGCTTAGGCACCGCCTAGTTCTGCTTTTTACAACACTGTCAAACTCACACTTTTAATCTTCTGTGAAGTTGACAGCAAGATCCCAGTAATGAGCAACTCCAGCATCCGAGAAAATTTTTCGGGCAGCAGCTTCAGTCATGCACTCATGAACAGAGAACTTGTGGAAGCTTGGTTTGGCCACACTACCTTGCCACACTAACATGCACTTGTTAACTGGTTTATCCTGGTCTTCAACTTCGTCGTCTTCTTCCTCTTTGACGGCCTCAGCCCAGTTAATACGCCTAAGCATTAGCTTTCCATATCTTTTAATGGATTTGCTTCCACCTTCAACAATTACGATGCTCATTCCCTCAGAAATCACAGCACAACCAGTCAATCGATTCTCTTGGGCATTAACATCAACTTTAAAGCGGGTCTTAGGGTGAGAAAGATCATTGATCTTGTAAACTGAAACAATGATTTCCAAAGTATTTGGGTCATCAAAAAGCTTTTTCTCCTTCTTTTCACGGAGCTCGGCAGGAGTGAGCTTCCGAGCAATGTTCCTGTCAACATGAGCTTGTTCGCGCTCGGCAGCAGCACTACGGATTTCCATTTCCAGCTTTGTAGGATCCTGAGTTGCTTCAGATCCAAGCACTTTCATCAGGTTACTTAATTTAACTTTTGGTTTTGGGGGTTCTATAAGGCCTTGTCTAATCATCTCCTGTCTATCCTTTTCCCTAGCTAGACGCCGTTGAGTGCGGAGTTTCTTCTGCTCCTTCTTAGTTAGCTTCAGTGGTTGAGGTGGTGGAGGAGCTGGCTCAGCAGGAGGCTCGATAGGACGAGGATGTTCAACATATATAGTGATCTTATCTATCTTTAGTTTATCTTCAGTCACCTCGCCACCAGCATCACCATATGAACCAGTAGCCAGAAGAGGCAGGTCCCTGAAATCAAGCAAGCATAATTTGATTATTATTTCAACACAAGATAGATTAAGAGAAATGAAGAGTTAAGCATGCCAGCCAGCTCTTGGCTGTAAAGGATTTTTCTTCCTCCTTGGGCGGAGCTCATTCAACTGGGCAAAAACAACCAAAACTATGCTTTTCCAGCAACATAAATAAGAATATCTAATGCGTTGAACCAACTGCAGGCAGACCATGTTTATCTTTAATATGAAAAGAAGTTATGTTACTCAATTTTGACATGATTAAGCCATGTGAAATAACTAAGGACTACAGTTAAATGAGGGAATCCCAACTAACATTGTAGAAAAAAAAAATGGAAAAGAAAAGAAATTGGAAAGATGTCAGACTTACCACCACTCTACCTCAGGTATTGGGTCCTTTGGTTTTTCCTTGACAACAACTCTTTCAGACACCTCTATCAAATTTGGATTAATATCAGCCTTCACCTTTGCCAATTGTGCTTGCTTTGCCTTTAGCTCCTTTGCTCCTGCTTCTCCAAACTGACTCTGTAAGAAGCAGATTTTTTGGTAAGAACTCTGTAGCAAGCAAATGATAAGAAGAAAAAAACAGCAAAAGTCCAATGGAAGTGGTCAACATAGGGGCTAAAGACAGCAACAAATACCTTCAACTTGATTATCTCAGCATCTTTTGTCCATTTCCCTTCCTCTACAAACTGAAAAGTCATCCTTTTTGGTCTCAAAAGCTTATTTTTATTGATACCCATCCTTGCATCAAAATGAGGATTTGATTCTGGATCCACATCAAGTTCAGGTTTAAGAATTTGGAATGCTTCTTTTTTCTGTTTGTTAATGTTCACCTGGAAAAATCACGAAATCGTATTGAAGAACTAGCATAGAGAGGCCAAGGAAAGAATATATAGTTGCATCAGCGGATAAGAAATAACAAACCTTAAGGGTGCTAAGGTAACTTGGTTTTGTCTGATTCACTACATTTCCATGCTCATCTATTTCTCTACCAAGTGCATCAACACGGAGAACAGGGGCCTTCGTAGGCTTCTGAGCAACAGGAGCTTCTGTTGGCAACTGCCCCGGGAATAGGTTTATAAGAGGAGCAAACTGGGGATCCTGGCGAAATCCCATCTTAGCAGCAAGTTCTTGAGCACGTTTGACAGCTTCTAAATTGGATATTGCTGGAAGGCCAGGCACGCCAGACACTCCACTTGCTGGTGGCTTCTCAGAAGGACTAACAGCCAGTAACGCTGATGAGCTTGATGTTGCATCAGTACCTGTTGGAACAGCTGTAGGGGCAACTGATGATGGAATTGTTCCTCCTTGAACTGTTCCAGTAATAGCTCCTGAACTTGAGGTACCTACCTTATTTAACTACATATAATGATATGACAACATGAATATAAACATATTTCAAGCTGTCAGAGTCAAGAAATGGAAAAGTATAACTTACTGTAGGTATCTTTTTCAACTTCTCAGCCAACTCTTTCTGCATCTGCAAAGCTTTCTTAGCCTTGGCTATAGCATCAAGTGAAAGATTACCACCATTTTTCCCAGCAGCTGAGGGTGTTGCATCTGTACTTGATGTTCCAATAACCTCATGAGATCTTGTAATACTAACTCCCTTATTTTCATTTGGGCTAGAAGTTGAAGATACCTTTGTAGTAAGGTGGTGGTCAGATGCCTTGGAGCTTTCAGCATTCTTTAATACAACAGTAATGGTGGATGATGATGATCCATGAGAGGCACCCTGTGAAATGAATAAATTAAACCAGCAGAAGATTGTGTTTATAAGACTATTTCTTTATAACATACCAATTGCCTATCAAATAGAAATTCAGAAATCAACAAGTTTTAAAATCAAATTCTCAAAACAGCTTCTCCATCAATTAAACCCAAGAAAACAAAATTACAATAAACTCCATAAAATGCCCAGTGTGGCCAGTTTCTGTATTGAATTGCAAAATCACAAATGAGGCTCTAAGTTAGTAGGGGGAAAACATACTACCACCGTGAACCAGTTTCTGTATGGAAGACTACCAACCCCCTTCCTCATCAACAAGAAAATTCAAAACTCTATCAATCTCAAATAAAGAAAACAAATATGTCCTCCCAGACTAATTACAGCAAACAGATTATGTAGATAGAAATAGAAGCCCAACTAACTAGAGTTGCTAACAGAAATATTAATGCAGTGCAATTGCCCACTCCTAATACATTAAAAGACCCATTTTAGTTTTAACAGACACACATCACAGACACACATCATTAGCAACTCATCTAAACATAATAAATTTTTTGGAGTATTCTGAAAACATGGTCAGATTTCAAACAGGAATTACATTGGCGAAGAAAAACATAAAACCTAAATCAGAAAAATGTAAACCACTAGGCAGAATAGAATGCACACAGGTCTGCAAGATTAGAAAACTCACATTCTCAACTGGCACACTCCCCTTGGCAGCAGTAGCATCAGTAAGCTCATCGTTCATTACATTGTTAACATTAGACTCAGAATAGTTTGCTTTAACTTCCTTTCCATTGTCCACTTCCGTCTTCATTTTATCTTCAAACCTTTTCCGCTCCCTGTTTTCATCTCTGTTTCCCTCTCCTTCCTTTGCTCCATCCTCGAATCTCCTCCTCTCTTTTCCATCATCAGATGAAACCCTAGCTCTTTTCTCTCGTCTTTCCTGGCTCTCGTCCCTCTCCTTCCTCTTCGTCCTACCTTTGCTTTCCATCTCCTCATACGATCCCTCGCGCTTCACTTCACGATGTTTTCGCTCCCTATCTCGCTTCGATTCCCTATCCCTATCAGAACTACCTTCCCTTTCGATTCTAGGTTCATAAGATCTCTCGCTCCTGTCGCGGCTACCTTCTCTTTCGTCCCGGGAATCGTAGGATTTCTCGCGTTCGCGAGAGGTTTCACGGTCATCACGCCTGGACGATTTGCGATCTGAGCGCCGGCGGTGGTGATCGGAATCTCGGTGACTCCCATGGTGCTTGTGGTCACGGTGGTCTTTGGCAGACTCACGATCGTCTCTGGAGCGTTTAGATGACAATTTTTCCCTGTCCATGCTGTATTGCAAGGATACTAGATCAGATTACCGGAAATGGAACTCAGCTTCCGGATTCCAATAGCTTTCCCGTCGATCCAATCATTCACACCTGACTGTCTTCATCTCAATCGGAGTTCCTCGCCAACCTTAAATCCCCTTATGAGAACTTCTCTGTACGATTTGACGGCCAAGCTAAGCTCCACCTTCTGCAAGGGCTGCCTCAAGCCTGCCCTCAAAGATATGATATTCTCACTTTCTCATGGTGGGAAGTGTGAACCTTAACACGATTTTCCCATCTGAGAGGAACAAAAAATTGGACTCCAAAAGGCCGAAAGAGAAAGAGTTTGGAATACCTTTGTAATGGGCCTATAAGAATAGGCCTATAAGAATTTTCGGGCCAGAAATTATCCAACGATAATTCAACCCGTCTAACCAAATAAATCAAGGAAAAAGTAGAAAAATATTTTGGAAGGCTGCCTTCTCAAATTAAAATTTTATTTTTAATTAATATTTTAAAAGATTAATAGTTAAATTAAAAATTTTATTTATATAAATCATATATATTAATTTTTATAAACTTAACTACTTCATTAATTTTATGTATAAGTATTAAATTAATATAAATTTTGATCTACGAAAATAGAGTTCAATTTTAACAGCATTGAGATTTTTGGTAATGTAAAACTACATTGAGATGCTTGTCAAGACTCAAGATGAATACAACAGCAAACTCCAAATTTAACTTTAACACAAAACTCTACCCTGTTTCCTCTTTCACCATTTGGGCAAAAACCTTGCTCATGGAAATACCAGCAAGTTCTCCAACACTTGCAACGCTGAATTCTGCCGTGGGTAAACTTGTGCTTGAGGAGTCTACATGTTGAACCTGTGATGAAGTCTCTCCATTGTGACCAGGTTTTTCTCCATTCCCTTGGAGTTGAAGCGCGCACTCCAAGTTCCATAGTACATATCCCATTGAGGGGCGATCAATGCCATGTTCTGCCAAGCAATTCTCAGCTGTCTCTACAAATTTCTTTAAAGACTCGAGTTTAATCTGACCAAGAAGACTAGGATCTATAATTTCCTCTATTTTCCCTTCCCTCTGCAACTTCATTGCCCATTCAACTAAGTTCACCCTTTCTCTTGGAAGGGATGGATCAATCACAGGTCTCCCACAAAGGACTTCAAACAAAACCACCCCAAACGAGTACACATCTGATTTCTCTGTCAGTTGTTGAGTAGACAAATACTCTGGATCAAGATAACCAAAGCTTCCTCTCACTGCTGTACTCACATGTGTTTTATCAATGTCCGGGCCAGTCTTTGAGAGCCCGAAATCAGCAACCTTAGCCATGAACTTCTCATCTAGTAGGATGTTTGCAGACTTGACATCACGGTGGATTATTGCTTTCGCAGAACCAGTGTGAAGATAATGAAGCCCTCTAGCTGCTCCAATGCAAATTTCAAGCCTCTGTCTCCAACTTAAGCTGGGAAGATTGGAGCTGTATAGATGATCCTTGAGGGTTCCATTTTCCATATACTCGTAAATTATGATCATCTCTTCTTGTTCATCACAATACCCTAGCAAAGATACCAAATGCCTGTGACGGAACTGAGTCACCATTTCAATCTCAGTCCAGAATTCTTTGAGACCCTGACCTGATTGAGGAACACCTCTCTTCACTGCCACCTTGATTTCATCCCTCAGTACTCCCTTGTAAACCTTCCCGAAACCCCCAATCCCAACAATCAAACTTTCACAAAAATTGTCAGTAGCTTCTTGAATTGCCACTAAAGGAAAGCGATAACCAATATTTGAGCTTGAAAATATAGGAGTTCCACTATAGTGTTCATTATCCATGGTATGAAATTTTCCTCTTCTATACATAGCACAATGGGCGCCTTGCTCCGAATCCAGATCTGATAGCTTTCTTCTTCTCCTGAAAAGCAGGATCACGACCATAGCAATAAGAAGAACAATAAACAACCCAACAACTAGGCCAACTATGACAGCAATTTTCATCCTGGAACTCCTTGAGGAAATGGTGTCTATGACATCAAGACTGAGCCTATGATTGTTTATCTTCATGATCTCCAATCCATTCAGAATGGCATGGGGGTCTGAAGCACCTGTAGTAGATGGCCCAACACTTACATTGAGCAAGCTGCTAGCACTTACCCTTGTAATCACATCCATATAATACGGAACACCCAATTTGTTTGATGTAAGGGAATGAAGATCAAGATGACTAGCAAACTGTGAGTTGATGTAAACATTGAAAATGAGGCTTTGTTGAGTAGAGGTACTCACCACGTCACAAAAATGAAGCCGCACCAGATACTCAAAACCAGGGTCGACATCAACACGCCATGTCAAGTTGGCATTCATTCTGGGATCCAGCTCTGTGTTCAACCAAGTTGCAGTGCCATATACAGAAAGGGGAGCAATATTCTCTATTTCCGGTCTCCCTGTGATATTGACAGCACTGACCCTCGACACAAATGTTCCTAAATTGGTGTGCAACAGATATACATCATCAGACACCCAAAGACGCCACAAAGTATCATTTTGCCGAGGAATTGTTACATTTCCCATGTTCACCCTTGCAACCGTCTCCAGTGCATTTCCCGACAGACTTCTATTGTCACCTTGCAGACCAATAACACTGGCTTCCTTAGGAATTAGATAATCAGGAAGTGAAAACATTTCCAAGGCATTTACAAAGGCAAAGGAATTGGCAGAAGGGGTGAAGGTCACAACTAGCTCGTCAGCAGTGACGTTCAAACAGTATTCCTTAACCACAGAACCTCCCTCAAATTGGGGTTCTCTGATAAGCATAAAATTCTGAGCTGAAACAGAGAATTCAGCCTTGCTCATGTTGTAACTCCCATACACAGAAGGGAAGAAATGGAAACGAATCCAGTGTCGTCCATGTTCTTTTATAGGGAAAGTATAATGGGATATACCATTGAAAACTCTAGCAGTTTGATATAGAACTGAATCAGAGGTGGATGAGGAAAAATTCACACTAGTCCTAGCAACAATGTTTTGTGGGGTTGAAAGGGTATAAGAACTAGAATTATCAGCCACAAATACACGATCACCCACAGATCTATTGGCGAAGGAACCACAGTCTATCAAATAATTGTCTACGGGATCAAATCCTAACGAAGCAGGAATAAGAAATGAAATTGATGAAACCCATATGAGTAATTGTGGTGTCCAAAAGTTCACCATGACCAAAACTCAGAAAGACACTTTAAAGGAACAAATTAGACCGTGGAACTGTAACAAATTGGGCAAACCTGAGAATAATGCAGCAGAGAAAAGTTGAGCTTTTGAGCTGTATATCTTCACCAGAACAAGAAACAACGACAACCTAAGATGGAAATCAATGAATGAAAAAAGGGTAACCTGGAGAATCACAATCAACTGATGATAGCCAATAAATGGAATTGGAAACCAGGAACACCCTATAAAATCAAAGAAGAACGAAAGATCAATGAAAGCAGCACCACATTGGACAGACCAAACATTAAATTGATTCCATAGTGACAAAAACAATTATTTTATGCCATATCCCAAACGTTTTGGTCAGAAAATTTTATGGGATTTTGTGAAAAGTGCCAAAAAAGAAACAAAAAGAACTCATCTGAAAGGGGAAGTACATAAGAGAGTCAAAGAGCTTGTAAAACACATGGTATGATTGAAGGCGGTGGAAGACAGCCATGTGGGTGGTCGTACTTGCGAGAGATTAGGCTATGTTTGGCTGAGAGCAAAATAATGAAACGAGAGAACATTACTTTTTCTTTCTTTCTTTTTTTGAATGCATCTTATTAAGAAGAAAACATCCAGAATAGTTTTTTAAGATTATAGGATGAGTTTTATAATAATAATAAAAAAAAAAACATTCCCTTTAAAATTCGAATATGAGATTTAAAGTATGGAGCTTCAAGGTTAGGATACATAAAAATAGTTGTGTTGAAATTATTTTATATATATATTATTTTAAGAGAAAGGATTCTTAACCATAATTGACAAAAAATTATCAAACATAATTTTAATTCCTTAATTTAGGTTCTTGACAATAATAGATATATTATTTAAAAAAATAACTATTGCTTTTACTCAAAAATTGTCTAAAATTATTTGTTATTTTCATCTTTTGATGTGAACAATTTTTTTTTATTTTAACAATATTATTATCACTTATAATTTTTTTGTTTTTTTATTTGTTAATAAGAGTAATATAAGTAAAAACATAAATTATTTATAAAATTTTAATTTGTGTAAAAAGTAAAAAGGATATCATTTACAAAGGAAATATAAAATTAAACAAATGAAAGCTTACCAATTCATGTGTTTTCATTTAATAAAAATAATTAATCATAAGA